ATTTTTTTACCTGTCCCTCCCCCCCCCCCCCCCCCCCCTTCCCCAGGTACCAGCCAACCACCTCCTGTCTGCATCTGTCATGTCGGCGCCGGCCGCCCTCGCCCTATCCAAACTGTTCTACCCAGAGACAGAGAGGTCGAGGCATAGGGCCGAGGATGTCTACAACATAGCTAAAGGGTCGGTGCTCCAGTCCACGGGCTTAGTACCTGTCCCCGTCGTTTTATGCAAGAAAAAGTCTGAAATTAAGCAAACTGGGTCCGAAAATGTGAAATTATGCGATTCTGTTTTAATTTTAACAAAGAACGATAAAGGAAAATAATCAGAAATCACAACTCATAGGGAGATGACTTAAGTATGTCACGTGCACCTCCCTCAGGTTCACGGTCACAGAGTCGCTTAAAATAATGACAAGACAATGAACCAATCACAGTTCAATTGAGCACTCCGCTGGATTGCTCCGGGGATCACATAATTTTGGCATTGAATAGTGTACAGGCTATAGCGTTTATTTTTAGACTGCCTACTGTGGGCTATGTTTCGTGGGTGCACATTTGAGATGTGCCGTCTTATTCATATGAATGTCCGCCAAACTCGCTACGAGTGTCGTCATCGCTTGGGTTATCCCAAAGAGCGGTTTATAGGTCAGATTGCCACTGTTGAATATCATATTACGTTTAGTTAAAGCAGGTGGACTTTGGCATGGCATAGCAGATGTTTTACGGCGCTTTTGGCACAGAAATGACAGTTGCAGCGCCAGCGAGGACCTTGTTTTTATATTATATTTGGCTAGTGTTTGTTTCGGACTTTTTTATTTCACGCTTGTGAGTGCTTTTCGTAATAGAACATTAAAATATTTTGGGCGGCACTGCACGACTGTGCTCTATGGACGACTCGCGCCTGACATATATATATATATATATATATATATATATATATATATATATATATATATATATATATATATATATATATATATAATATATATATATATATATATATAATGTAGCCTATATATATTTGTATTGTTGTCGTTATGCCAGAGAGGAGCGTAACTTGATCGAAGCAGCGTCAAACGGCGCGTCCATGTCCATCAAGCTGGTGGCGAACATTGCTGTGAATCTCATCGCCTTTGTGGCGCTCCTGGACTTTGTCAACGCCACACTCGTCTGGCTGGGCGACCGGGCGGGCTACGACGGGTTCACCTTTCAGGTCAGTTCCGGGTTGAAGGTCAAAGTTGAAGAGATGGTAAAGATAGATGTAGGCTACACGATGTGATTAGGTTGGGTTTTGTTTTGTTTTTTTCATCATCCTTTTGGTGAAAGCCTTTTGGGTTTTTTTTGTGACGGGTGGACTTTTTCCGTCTGCAGTCTAGCAGGCACATAGAGAACACGCACAAAGCGAAAGAAACTCGTCATTGAGAATAGGTTTTCGAGTCCCAGATTTGTTTTTCTTTCTCATGAATATTCTTCACATTCTATACCTCTTCACTTGTAAAAATCAAAGCACGCTGTGATTTTTTAAAGATTCTTGTTGTGGGGATAGCTCTTTTGTCTGTGATTTAGTTTGTTCTTTTGTTTGTGGTAAAGATATTTTTGTCTTGTGTGAAGGGAAAAGGGGGGGAGGGTAAGTTTTCTACTACTTTTAGACTATGTTCTTTTTTTTCTTGACTGTATGTGGGGAGATATATATGTGTCCGAGAAGGGACAACTCTGGGAGGAGGAGGGGGTGGAGAGGTTGTCTACAAATTGTTGTGATATACGAATCAACATGTTTCATTTTATGCATTTGTTTATATCTTGACCAACACCTCCCCCCTCCCTCTCTCTCTTTCTCTCTCTCTCTCTCTCTCTCTCTCTCTCTCTCTCTCTCTCTCTCTCTCTGTATGTTTATCTACCCCTCTGTCTGTCTATCTCCATCTATCTATCTATCTCTCCCAAACACGTATACAGTGGGTGTCGCATTCAACGAGAAGTCGGCTCCAACGAGGCAATCCTTAGTCCCCGACTTTTTCCTCTATATCTCTTTGTAAATGAACGTCAGCTCCAACGAGGTTGCAAACAGACCGAAGTCGCTTTCAACGAGGTCTCGATAACCAAATAAAAGCAATTGACGTCCCCAAACGCGAAGAATTTTTCTCCTTTCCCTCCATCTAGAATTGAGAGGGTATGTTTCCATACGAAAAGTGTTCCGAAAAAAAATAATAATAAAATGCAGAAATGACGGTCAGAAGGACTCACAGCTCAAACACGCGCACACTGATGCTGTTTGAGATTTTTTTCATCAAGGGAACAATTGTTTTAATTACTGGTATTGGTACATTGTGTAATATAATAATAATTACTAGTCTCCTTTCTTGTCTTTAGCCGTAGTCGCGTTTAACGAGAGGTTTTATCCAACGAAGACAACAAGCCGGTCCCGGCGACCTCGTTGAATGCGACACCCACTGTACTGACAATATCTCCCTCATCTCCCCCTCCCTTCCCCTCCCCTTCCCCAGCTGATATGCTCCTACGTGTTCTGGCCACTTGCCTTCCTCATGGGCGTAGACCTGGGGGATTGTGAGGAAGTGGCAGAGCTCATCGGTACCAAGACCTTCCTCAACGAGTTTGTGGTGAGTCTCTCTCTCTCTCTCTCTCTCTCTCTCTCTCTCTCTCTCTCTCTCTCTCTCTCTCTCTCTCTCTCTCTCTCTCTCTCTCTCTCTCTCCCTCTCTCTCTCTCTCTCTCTCTCTCTCTCTCTCTCTCTCTCCCTCTTTCTCTCTCTCTCTCTCTCCCTCTTTCTCTCTCCCTCTTTCTCCCTCCCTTCTTTCTCGGGCTGTATATATCTCGCTTCAGGCCATGTAAGTGTCGCAAACCGGGAAAGTGGTGTGCGAACCAGGGGCGGGGTGTGATTGTGTGAGGCGGGTGGGAAGTGTATAGTGAATCTGGTGTGTGTATGTGAGGTCGGCGACGATGAATGTGTATGGGGATGTAGATCCCGGGACTGGTACCTGAGG